CAAAAGTATAATTTTTTAATGTTTACAGTTGTTATTTATTTGCTATAATGAAATTAGTTTGATTTATAAAAATTTAAATTGTTACCCGTAATTCAATTTGCTACAACTTATTTAATAAGTAAATAATATGTTTTAAATAAAAACATTTAGTAAGTAAATATACAGTTATAACTGTATTTGTGCTAGATTTTAATGTCCAGTTTTAATGTCCAACTATAATATAAATAAAATTATAAAAAAGTAAATTGACTAAACTATAATATAAACAAAATTATAAAAAAGTGAATTGACTTAAAACTATAGATAGATTTTAATGTCCAGTTTTAATGTCCATTTATAAACAAAATTATAAAAAAGTAAATTGATCGTCATTAGAAAATGTCCTAAAGAAATATAGGAATAATTATTTTGGTTGGGAGTACTTATTTATTAACCGGAATACTTATTTACTAACCTAAAATGACTGGGGGAGTACTTTTTTTACTAGGAAATAAGTACTCCAGTAGTACTTATTTATGTGGAGTCATTTTAAGCTGCTACACGGCTGGGAACTTACCTTCGAGAAAAAGAAATGGCCTTAAAAATTATTTATTAAAGTTTTTTGCTGTGTTGATAAATACTTTTAATAAATGATGTCTAAATAAATTTTGGAACGTTTAAATTTTTTTTTTTTTTTTATTTGCATTCACTCCCAACAAGGCTGCAAGCAACCACTATTAAGTTGGGAGTTACTAGGAAAAAAATAAGAACAGAGTTAAAGAGCAAGGAAACGGTTGAAAGAAGACTTGAAAAGTTGAAGGTTCTATGAGTCAGGAAAACATGAAGATGGGAGAGAGTTCCAAAGGATTGAAGTGCGGGGAAAAAAACTAGATGAATAAAAGTTTTTAGAGCATGCAGGGACAGATACAGTAAACGAATGAGACTTAGCTGAATGACGAGTAAAATGAGAATGAATTTTAGTTGATGGAACTAGAGATGATAACTCCTTTGAGCAGTGACCATGATAGTATCTGTAGAAAAGAGAAAGAGATGCAACTTTACGACGATGGGAAAGATAGTCCAGATCCAACAACATTTACAATGCGTTTTTTGACCTTGTCAAGAAGAGAAAGTGAATCGTTAGAAGAACCAGCCCAAATATGACAACAGTATTCCATACAGGGACGAATAAGAGATTTGTAGAGGTAGAGAATGGAATCACAAGTAAGGAAATGGCGAGCACGATAAAGAGAAGCAACCTTAGCAGAAGCTAATTTAGCAATTGATTGTATATATGGTTTCCATGAAAGGTCAGTAGTAAGCGATAATCTAAGAAGACGTAAAGAGGAGGACTCAGTAAGAGGATTGCCATTCATTAATATAGGAATGTTGACCATATTACGGTAGTTGTTTGCAGTAAGCAATTGGGTTTTTTTAGAGTTGAAATTCACAAGCCACTGTGAACCCCAATCTATTACTGAAGTGAGTTCAGATTCAAGATCAGCTGCTTGTTCTAGGCGATCGAAAAAATGATAAATAATATGAAACATATCTTTTAAAGATTATTTAAAATATGTAAACACTCACCACTTTAATCGATTTGACTATTTCACCTATTTCACTCAGCACTTAGAGATCACTTTAATCATTTGCAATTTTGTGATTGTTTTTTTATTATATATTTTTTAACTTATTGTTATTGTTGTTAAGTACTGTTTTGGGTGTATAGTCTGTCTTATTTATTTTTAAATATTCCTCTATTAATCTTTTTTTTGTCTTGACAACTATCAAAATATCCTTTATTCTAATGTACTTCATTTCTTCCATCAGGCGTTCACTGCTCGTGTGTGACCATTCAGCAAATTTTATATGCCAAAACTTACTGATTTAACTATTCAAATATAAGACGTTTGCACTTAATGTGTGTAATTACTATGATTTTAATTTTTCAAATACTATGCTATTTGTAAATAATGATCAAAAATTGATTCTAATATGAACATTTAATAACTACTAAAAATAAAATTACTTAAATATAGTCACTAAATGTTTAAAATAGTTTAAATCATTTTCAATAAATGTTTATAAATAAGGAAGTATTTGCAACTTGAGCATTTATAAAAAACTTAAATAAAATGGTTTTTCTTTGCGTAACTAAAAATCTACTGCAAAATTAATGTATTCAAAGAAATGCCTTTTACAGCAAGACTCAATTACAATATTTAAACCACTTTAATTAGTCATAGAAAACTATTTAATACGTTCATGTTGACGATAAAACACCTGTTATTTTTAAAGAGTATTTAATTGTTATTGTAAAAAGCTATGAAACAACATTAAAACAATCTGCAAAGTTGTTTTAAAAATATAAATAGCTTGTGTTAATGTAAAACAACTTCGTGACACTGTTTTGTTGCTGTTTTATACAATTTATAACCTTAATAACATACAACGCGTTAAAAATAAAATAAAGCAAATAAACGAAATTGTTTTTATTTAATAAATTAAAAAATCATTGTCATAAAACTTAATATTTGCACAAAAACATTCCTATAGACCAGGTCTGTGGAGTCGGAGTTGCATTTTTAGCGGAGTCGGAGATACCTGCAATACCGAGAAGTTTTACTATTGCGACTCCGACCCCAATAGTAAAACTTCTCGGTATTGCAGGTGCGTGTATAAAACATTCAATTAACCTTATATTTATACTAAACCTCAAAGAACGTTTCATAAATTTGTCAAAAAAAATTTTTTTAACTTATCGCGTAATATTTTTAAAAAAATTCAAAGAATTTTTCAAAAATTTTGCTTTGGAGTCGAAGTTGGAGTCGGAGTTGTACTCAAAAAATTTCAACAACTGGAGTCGGCGTCGTTACTTTTTTTTTACGACTCCACACCTCTGCTATACGACTCCACACCCCTGATCATACGAGTCTATAATCTATAGACCAAACAAGTAAGATTAAAGAAAAAAAAGTTAGACACCACTTATTTTGTAATTTTTTGTTTCTTGATCTAGAGGACTAATAAAAGTTTAAGTATAATTAAGTTTTTCATTTAATTGGTTTTTAAATTGATGTTTTCATTCAATTTTTTTATTCAAATTGTTTTCCAATATAAAGTGAAACAAAACAATTTGGTTTAATAAATCGAATTATATTTCATTAAGTTAAGTTTAAATCAAACTATATTTCATTAAGAATAAGCTTAAAAACTTTTATGCAAAAAAGTTGCTGGTTTCTATTAGCATTGATTAAGTATTAGAAAAAAAAATTAATAAAAACAAATTAATATATATTTCGATATACTTAAAGTAGTAAAATTAATAATATAAAATTGTTGATAAAATAATAACTTAAATCATTAATAATAAGTTAATTTGGTGCAACATTTTGAAAGACAAATATAAAAACCAGGCTGTTTTGTTAAAAAAAAAAAAGAATGAAGAATAAATTCGCTTTAATGTCTTTTACCTTTTCTTCCACGCAGAGATTTAAAGTAATTTAAATTCAAATAAAAATCTCTGTGCAAAAGGGCAAATGATCATCTATTTAGAAGATAAATTTAGCATGACGTACTTTATAACAAAAACAATACTTTTAAGAATTGCCAAAAAAAAATGCTTAACTAGAAAAAAAGTAAATAAACAACCAAAAAAAAAAAACAAATCGCGAAATTATTTTTTTTTATGAAAAAACTAATCGCGAAGGTGTGAAAACATTCTTTTCATACATCTATATACATATTAAATTCTATATAAATATATATATATTTTTTGCCGCATTTAAAAAACAAATAGGCCAAATAAATAACATACTATAAATTTAATATATAAGAAAATAATTTTAAGAAGCCTATTATATAAGCCTTAAGATTCTATTTGTAAACACAACCCTGGTTTACTTTCCTTCTGAAAATTTGTTTAAAAAGTTGTTTTAAAAAAATTAGTTTGGTTTAAATTGATATTTTTTCGATTGCTTTAAACCTATCTACTCTGTCTTCAATTTCAAACTTAGTTAATGCATTATTTGTATTAATTAATAACTCAGTTTCTCTCTTTCATTACTATCTCAAGTCACTATGCCATGTTATTTTATTGTATTTTGATCTTAATTCAGTTTTTGTATCCAGTTTTAAATTTTGTCCTGATTGAAAGACCTGTTGCATTTGTGGTAGATTGACTTGGTTTGTTCATCATTCTTTTTATTGTAGAAATATTTTCTTCAGTTTTGATTTTTGTTTGTACTTCTGTTTCAACATTAAAATTATCAAGGTTTGTATTGTTTTTGGTTACCATTATGAGCTAAAGTATTTTTGTTATGAAAGTATTTGTGGGCTAGACAAAAATAATTTTTGGTCTGGAATGAATGTCCTTTTTCATGGCATCACATTTATAGTTCTTAATTTAAATAAATCTTGCATCAAATAAATTTAAAATTATGTGTAATTGTTTATTATTATATAATTTTATAATTCATACAGAACTTGGGTTTACAGAACTTGGGTTTTAGATAATTTAAAATAATTGTTTTGATCTGTATATAACTGAATAATAGTCTTTGTATAGTCTTTGATACAACATTATTGACTAAAATAAACATACATGTTTTTTAGAGACTATTGCGGCCTCTTATATTGCAGCTATTTATACTCAAATAAATGTCATGTTTTGTAGCATTTTCAAGGACCCTAAATTGTTACGTAATTGTCTTATGCTCCTTATTATGATATTTAAGGCATATTTTTGTTTTAAAGTATACATTTATAAAATTAAGCAAAAAAGTTACTTTGTTTGACTCACATTTATTTCATATTAATAGTATTTCAAATATTTATTATATATTAGCGTTCTAATAATTTGTTACTTTCTCTAACAAATCATATATTTTGGAAGTTAATATCCCCCTTTTCTCAAATTCTTAGAATTTAATTTTATGTTTAAAAATGTTTTGTTATTAGTTTTTGATGTTATGTAATTATTTTTTTATTACAGCGTAATAAATGATAAATATCATTCATAGCATTTGTTTAAATCAAATTTGCTTGATCGCAACAGTCCTAATCTGCGTGTCTTTGACAATTTTCTAAAAAAACATCTTGCTGAATGGTTTGCAGATGGTTTTATGGATTTACAGCCTATTACTTGGAATTCGACCAGTGCTGGATTTATTGAAAAGGTTGTTATGTTAATATATATATATATATACACACACAAAAATAGTTTTAAAAGTATTCTACAAATTATGTTAGAGAGTGTGCTCAATGTTCTTAAAAGAAGAGAGCAATATCAAAAAGTAGAAATTCACTTATCAAGTTTTTATTTTATTTTACATTGTGTTTTATTAACAAAGATTTCTGATGAATCTTTATTGATAAAACACTGTGTAAAATTAAAATATTTGTTAAGTGATTTCTACTAATTTACATGTTTTACAAACATTTTAATGTTTTAGTAGGAAATCACTTATAAAGTTTTTTGTATAGTATAATGTGTGTGTATGTGTGCATATAAATATTGTTGTTCTAGTTTCATAAAAAATATTATTAGAATTTCAATAATAATTTATTTGCATTTGATTAAATTATTATTTTTAAATAAAAACATATAAAGCACCTATATTACAGTATATGTGTTTACCAGTACATGTGTTTACCACTACTATAAAATATTTTTCAATATTATAAAATAAATTTTAAATTGTTATAATAAAAGTACAATAAACTATTCATAACATTTTAAATATTTTAAAAAGGATGAAATAAGACGAAAGTAATTATAGTAAAAGTGCCTTTTCCATTATTTCTTTGTACATGAATTGGTTGATTTGACTCATTAAATGTCACATCATCTGATAATGGTGGAAAATACACCCCCAGATTTCCACTAATCATTTTTTTGGATTCTAGTTAGTGGTGTACCCTCATGGTCGTCCGATGGCGCGAAACAACTTCTTTTCTCCAAGGGCAACTGAAATTTTTAAAAATGTCTGTCAGTAGCTGACCAAACAGTTGGTTACTTTTATTAATAAAACTATATTTTAATTGAAGTAGAAAAGCATCTAGAAAAATAGAGTGGATATTCAATTACTATTTAAAACTTATTAAGGAACTTAAACAACTTTAAAAAAAAGTACTGTATAAAAAGTTTAGCATTATGAAAAATGTTACTAATGCGTAAAAACGTGCGTTAATTTTAAAATCAACTAATAAAAACTTTTTATTGGTTGATTTTAAAATTACCACGCGTTTTTACAAACTTTTTATAAAGTACGTTTTTATAAAATAATACTTGAATATTTGCTTTATATTTTCTAGATGTTTATCTGCTTTTATTAAAGTTTGGAATTGCTGGTGTTGTTAGAACAAAGTGCTTTATAAAAGTAATAATAGGGGAGAACTTGCACCCTTGATCCGTAGGCACCTTTGATCCTATAGCGTTATCTCCATACTTACATAACTTATTAAATAGGGCTGATAACCAGCGTGTTATAAATATTGTATCTTCAAAGTTAATTGTCTTTTGGTTAGAGAATCGACCACTATTGAATTTATTTCTAAATAGTTTGATTTTGACGACAAAAAGTAATTTTTTTACTTTCACAAGGAACCTCACATCTTTAATATTTTTTAAAGTTGAATAATTTTGCTTATGTCATTTTGTAATTTAACTATTCACCTCTTGTATGGTTGCTTTTGGTAAGCTATAGAAGCATCTAATATGACAAAAAATTAAATTTTGTAAAAATGGAGCAGGTTAGCACCCTTGATCCTATGCGTTTATGCACCTTTGATCCTATGATCAAAGGTGCATACACACACACACACACAAAATGTTTAACTTTTAAAGTAACATGTACAATACGTCATATTGTTTTTAAATATGTTTTTTTCTTCTAAAATAAAGCCTTAAAATGAAGATTTTATACTATTTTGTATGTGTATTTTATACTATTCTGTGTGTGTTTGTTAATAAAGAAGATTTTAGTAAGTATAAATCTTTATAAATGTTTATCCAAAAATTAGTAATATAGCAAAACTATATAAATATGTTTCATTTTTTTACAGTTAAATATGGTGTTTCATAAAAAAAGAAAAACCGATAGACCACCTAGAGGTAGTCTATCGGTTTTTCTTTTTAAGTTAATTAGAATGAAATACGAGCAGCTGTTAATGCAGTTCTTAATGGTGGTACAGTTTATCGTGTATCTAAAGAGAGGGGAATCAATTTAATGACACTTGAAAGATATGTAAGGAAATGTCAATTAAATACAAATACAGTCTGCAAACCTAACTTCATTACCATGCAAATCTTTACCAACAAAGAAGAAACATCTTTATTAGATTATCTTATTATCTTATATAGTTGTCAACCAAAATAACACAAAAACTTGCCTATGAATTTGCAATGACTCTTTCTAAGCGCATTCCTAAATCGTGGAAAAGTTAACAAATTGCTGGAAAACAGTGGCTTCGTAGTTTTATGTTACGTAGGGATGAGTTATTTTTAGGAAATCCAGAAGGTACTAGTATGGTACGAACAACTGTTTTTAAATTTTATACAGTCAGAGAATTTTTCACCAATCTAAAAGATGTTCATCTATGACACAAGTTTCAGCCACAAAACATATATAATGTTGATGAGACAGGTCTCACAACTATTCAAAAGCCAGTTAAAATAATTGCTAAAAAAGGAAATAAACAAGTTGGAAGGATAACTTCAGCAGAAAGAGGGACATCGGTAACAGTTTGTTGTGCAGTTAATGCAATAGGAAACTTAATCCCTCCATTTTTTATTTTTCCAAAAGTTCATTTCAAAGGAAGTATGATAAATGGTGGTCCACCTTGATGTGTTAAGGTTGCAAACCAATCTGGTTGGATGAATGTTGCAACGTTTTTAGAGTAGATAAACATTTTATTCAAAATGTGAAATATTCACTAGCTAATCCAGTGCTTTTACTTCTTGACAACCACGAGAACCATGTTTCGATTGTGTGTTTAGATTTAGTTAAAGAAAATGGCCAAACTATGCTGTCCTTTCCACCACATTGTAGTCACAAGTTGCAGCCTATAGATTGGTCAGTTTATTGGCTACTGAAACGTTATTACAATGCAGCCTGTGATAATTGTATTGTATCTAATCCAAGACCAATGACCATATATGGTATAGCTTCAGTTGTAAGGAAAGCCTATGCACAAGCTTTTACTTTGTCTAACATTTCTGCAGGATTTGCTGTGGCAGGAATTGAACCCTTTAATTCTAAAATATTTTCTGATAATTAGTTTTTGTCTACATATGTGACAGACTGTCCAGAACCTATTACTGCTAACCCATTTCCAAGTGTTGTTGATCCAGTTTCTGCTATTGTTCATGCCCCAGCTTTTAATCAATCATTGATGTCATCCTATATCTGACCCTGGAAGTCAACTATCCAATGTTTCTAATATCTCTCATCAAACAAGTCTAGAAAAAATTAGGCCATTTCCAAAAGCTGGATCATGGAGATCCATTAAAGGACGTAAACATCAGCGTACTAGAATACTCACAGACACTCCTGTTCGAAATGAGTTAAATAAACTTCAGGAAATAAAAAAAAAATCTCAGTCAAAAAGAAAAAACATGAAACGCAAAATAAGATCTTCATGACAGGGAAAAGAAATCTTGAAAGTAATGAAAATAAAAACGTTAAGTCTCAGTAAAAGATAACATTTTTTTCATTGATTTTTTCTTTTTTTAAGAAAGATAAATTTGTAGTAGAATTAATAATAACTTTATTGGTTTTTATTATAGACATTGTTTTGATGACTTAAAAATTATTCTTATACATTTATGGTATAAATTTGATCTCGAATCAAGTATACATACATAGGATCAAGGGTGCATATAGGTAGGATCAAGGGAGCATACTGGTATGCTCCCTTGATCCTACCTATATGCCCATGATCTCAATTGAGCGTTCTTAGTTTTTATAATCTTAAATTTACTTAAAATGTTCTGATAAAAAAATGATTATTGAATTATAATAAGGTATAAAATTTGCTATTATGTACTGTTTTAGAGATCAAAATAAAAACATATTCAGCAAGTTGATAGATTTTTAGGATCATGGGTGCATACTCTCCCCTACTATTATAGTTTTATTACTTTTATAATGCAGTTAGTGACTAAAGTGTTATTATTTTTGTTACTTTTGTTTTTTGAGTGTTGTTACTTTTGCAGTTGTAAGTTTTTTGTTTTGTTTTTTATAGCTTTTTCCCTAACAAACTTATAATAATTTGGTCATTAAAAACAAAGTACACAGCTTTGCATTAACTAAAATTTTTAAAATATCATTAGTTCCACCCAAGAAAAAGTACAAAAAAAAAGTTTTACACCAGACTACTGATTATCATAGCGGACAACTCAAACGAGAAATCAAAGCTGTTTCAGTCGCCCTGCGGGCAACTGGAAAAAAACCGGAGGGGTACACCACTGCTAGTTACAAAACTTTCTAAAATACTTCTTTTAACTGTGTTTAACAAACTCTGGTTTTGTTTTTAGCTCTCTTAAATTTGAATTATTCCCACAAAATAAATCACTTTTAATCATTTTCCTACACTCCAGCACAATCAATCTTTACATCATTTATGTCTTCTTGTTTCGTTATTCAGTTACAAAAGTGGCATTCAAAAGTATTTTTGTTTGATCTTATTTTTTGTTGCTTTAATGCTTTTCTTACTCATTTTTAACATAGCTGCTAATTATAAAACTATTTTTTGATGTTACTGTTGTTAACTAGTTTTAACTGATGAAGTATGAAGTAATATGCTGGTGGTAGAACTGCTAGTTGCATCACTCTTCTTAAAAGTCCTAAGGCCATTTGGAAGTTCATTATTTTCTCATTGCATGTAAAATAGATAAGCAGTAAAAAACACTGCATCAAGAGAAACCTATTAATTGATAAGTTCATGTTAATGTAGGTGACATCTTGAAAGCTTAATTTATGAAGTCTCTCAGAGTCAGGGTTAGGGCTTAACAAGTTACTTCCAGTTATTGTGATTTTATATATTGTATTTTTTGTTGTTGTTGTTTATTCACATTTTTCAAATACACACCAACATTTTTTGTACTAACTCTTTTAGACATGTATTTGTTTTTAGCAAACAAACAATTTGGTCATTTAATTTTTTTTTCATACACTCTCTCAACTTATTTTAAATGAGTATAATTATTTATTAAGATTTAACCAACAAAGTAGATATATTACTATTGAAAAGAAGAAAAAAAAATTTTTTATAATAAATTTACTTTATATATAGAATTGCTTTATATGTAGACATTAGGCAGGGTGAATAAAAATATGCAATTGCTTTTACTTAGTAATTGGTCAGCTTCACGTGAATAAAAACTTAAGCAAAACTGCTAAAGTTTTGATTCACGTAAAGCTGAACAATTACTGAGTAAAAGTAATTGCTTATTTTTATTCACCTGGCCTATTGCTCCTCCAAATTTTTAGTTATTACTATTATTATTACTATTGCTTCTATCTTTATTTTATTATGACATCAGTAGTTTTTTGTGCATATCAAATATTCTGTGTGTAAAATATGATTAAGATAAGGTTTTTACATACACGCATACACCACAAAAAAAGATACCTTCGTTTACTCAATCTTGTTTTTGTTTTTTTTTACTTGAGTTATTACTCAATCTTGTTTTTGTTTTGTTTACTCAAGATCTTATATTCTTAAATTAGAATTAACAAACTATATAAAAAAAATTTTTTTAAGTTTAATTCTGAATAGTAATAAAATTTTGATATTGATTCAAAAGAAGTTTTTGGTAAGACATTTTAAGTAATTTAAGAAACATATAAAATATAAAATAATGGAATTTTATGTTTCAAAAATAATTTAAAATCAAATTAAATTGTACATAGGGTAATTTATATTATACATATTGTGTATCAAATATTCTTAATTTGTTTTAGGAATTACGATTGATCTTTTTTTTCATTGCTTTATTAACCCTTTAAAATTCCCGTGTTTTTTTTAAAAACGATCGCGATAAGTCCAGCTTTTTTTTTAAATTCATCGTGTTTTAACTAATAGAATAAAAAATGTTTTTTACTATTTTTAACATTAATAAACACTACAAAATGTTATTATTCAAGTTTAAGAATATATAAATCATTCTACATAAACATAAAAATTTAAAAATGCATTTACTAATATTCACTTTTTGTATGATAATTGTAAAAAGCAAGGAGCTGCAAAAAGTCCTACATCACATCATGTTCATATCCTGAACCTTTTTGAATATTGTGTCTGTAACATACTGCACACCATCTTTCAGCATTAATCTTTTATTATCATTTTCAATATTCATTCATTAAATATACCTTATCATTATTGATTCATCAAATGTATAATATTCTATCTTTTCGTGAGTAAATGTTTACTTTTTGATAATTATTTTTGCACTAAAAGAACTTCTTTATTTGTCATATTGAAAATTAAATTGAACACGTTTAAAAGACAATTATTGAAATAAAAGCTCTGTAATTATCTAGTAATAACTTTTGTAACAAGTAGGCGTTAATTACTTTTGAAAAAGAAGGAAATATAAAGAGATGCACAAAACGGTAATATTACAGCATGGACATTTAGAAACCACTTTTAGTTTGCGTAATATTACAGCATGGACTGTTAACGAGTTAAGGCTGTAATATTTGCTTTAGGTGTTTAAATCACATATTTTTTTTTTTTTTTTTTTTTTTTAATTTTTTAAAAATTAATGAGTAAGATAAATAAATTAAAAAAAAAAAAATTATGAACTTTTATAAGATTTCTTATCTTGAGTAAGAACAAAGATCCATGTTAGAATAAAACTGTTTTGTTGATAGTTAAGTAGCCATGGGTAGCAGTGCTAACTAGAAGTTTTAAAATAGAGTTGGAAGTAGTTGAGAGATTTATGTAAAAATTTATTTAAAAAATCGTTGTTATAAAATAAATTAATTTATAAATTAGAAAAGAAGAAATAAAATTAAAGAGAAATAAGCAAGAAAAAAAAAAGTTTAGCATTCCAAAAAAAATTTAAAAACCACCCCTGGGTTGTTAAGAAGTATATTTTGTTTTTATTATATCAACAGCTGATATTTAACCAAGTTGAAGCTAAAAGTGTTTTTAGGAATTGTTTACTATTATCAAATATAATTATAGTTTTAACAACTTATTATCAATGACTTTGTTATGTTTTTATTTACTAATTATAAAAAAACTTTTTATTTTTAACTATAATTACATGATTATTAATAAAAATTTGTTTAATCAATAGTTATATATCATAAAGAAATAAGTTAAAAACAAACTATTTTATAAAATCAACTTATTCAACTTAATAAAAAAATGTTGTTGTTTTTTCTATTAATATCTTAATCTAACATTTTTCAGTTTTTCATTTCTTTGACTTTTTGGTCATAATAATTTAGTTAATGAAGTCTGAAGCTGTTCATCCTATTAATTCTTGGAGTGAAATGAAGCAACGTATGGGTAATAGAAGAAGGGTTTTTGCGTTTACTCATCGTATGATTCCTGATGAACCCCTGGTTGTTTTGCATGCACTCCTCGGTGATAATATACCCAGTAATATAAATTCTGTTTTGCAAACAGATAATTATCCAATGGAAAAAGATTTGGTCAAAACAGCCACATTTTACTCAATATCAGCAATACATAGAGGTTAGATTGTTATATTTTTACTATATGCTCAAATATTAAATGGATTTCAGATGTTTAGTTAACTGAAAAAAAAAATCTTTTTAAGAAAAAGTCTTTAAAAAACTTTGAGAAATTAAAGAAATATACAATTTTTATTTATAAATGAAATAGGAGATGCCATTTTCAAATTTTAATTAAGCTTTTTTTAATATATTAAGGGAAAACAGAGTTATATAAAATATTTGTATATATAAATTATATAAATTATTATTTAATATATAAGTATATATTATATAAATTATTATTTAATATAAAAATAGATACACTAGTTTTGTGTATTTAGATCAGTAATAATTTATATAATATATCAGTATATATTATATAAATTATTATTTAATATAAAAATAGATACACTAGTTTTGTGTATTTAGATCAGCATTTGGTGAGCAAAAATCCTGATTTGAATCTATATTTTACAAATTGAAGAAATATGTAAAAAATAGTTGCTGCCCCAACACATACCCTTAGTCAATGTAGCAAAACTCCTTTGCATTTTCCCCTAAGTTGTCAGTTTATAGGGGAAGTTCGTGTACCTGGATTTTTGCAATGCCCATATTTAAGGTTTGTCTAAAACTAGTGAAACTGATATGATCACATCTAATAACTTAATACTTAGTATTAATATAAGTATAATAACTTAAATTATAAATGTCCGTCATTTAGAAGGTTTTAAAAATTTGTGGCCTAGGTACAATAACCTTTTTTAATTTTAATGTACCTAGAACAACTAGTTATTGTATCTAGGACCGTTTTCTGAAAATAAGGTTCAACTCCAAAATGAATTGAGAAAGCAAGGCAAATTTTATTAAAAAATTCTTTTAATCTTGGATTCTATTCAACAAATTTATCTGGTGTTACTTGATTGCAACATTCAAATAACAAAGTTGACTAATAGTTCTGAACAAAATTGACTAATACTTCTAGGTGTAAAATGGTAATCCTAAAACAATCACAAGAAGAAGAAAAAATATCTGAATGAATCTACCTTGTTATTAAATTCTTTATGCACATATGACCCTAGGTAGAAGACTTGATAGTCTCATGAAAAATGTCATCTGTTAAAAAACACGGACTGTAAGTAGACATTGAAAATACTGTTTAGTACTTAAATAACAAATGATATAATAATATACATGAACTTATAGAAAAGCATTTCCTCAAGGATTGTAAAACAATCTAAGATACTAGCAACAAAAATTTACTTTAGACCATCAATAAAAGGTTTTTCACTGATAACTTGCCATAGCAATGCTCTCTGAGAATCAAAGTAGAGTTAAAAAATAAAACCTTTTATAACTAATCATCTGGCTGAGAAGCAAAAAATAACTTAATAATCATCGTAACGTTCAAAAACAATTATAAGATTATTACTATTTGCAAGGGTGGTTTGGTTTTTAATCTTTGTCAAGCAAAAACTTGTTTTCGTGACGACATCTTATTTCTGTTTATATATATATATATATATATATATATATATATATATATATATATATATATATTCAAAATTTTTCAGTTAACTTGCATCTCCCATAAGGTAGAGCAGGACATATAAGGACACTTAAGAAACAAATGGTAGTTGTGGATAAACTAATCATAGTTAACACTGTTTTTTGTAAATTTTATTGATATATAAGAAAACAAAAAAACAAAAACAAAATTTCTAAAAATAAGGTATGAAGATTAATTAAATGAAACATTAGACTTGCAAAAATTTTACATTTTGTAAGTGGGTGGGCCATACAAACTACATACACGCATACACCACAAAAAAAGAAATAACAATTAAAAACTTTTTTTTTTATTAAATACTCTGAAACAAAAAAACTTAAGAAATTGTTCTAAAATTTAAGTAGAGCAATACTATTAAATTGGTAACTACTATTAAATTTAAAATTAAAGAAAATATATTATGGATCATATAAATCACGCAAAAAATATCCTTAAACTATTTGGCAACATTTTTGATGCGCTGGTTTCTAA